CATTACATGTACATGTACATTATCATTACTTTGTTGTTAACTGATGCATATACCACTGGTTGTTCTTGTGTTGGTACTGCCTGTGGTCTCTTCCCTTTAGCAGCAATAGCCAGATCAGCATACACTGGCTTATGAGCTGATTCATCAACTAACACCTATTGAATATAACAACATGAACCTTAATTACTAATGTACATACCTTATGTACTAATATACCTTATACTAATGTACATACCTATACTAATGCATTTACATGTACTTGTGGTATGTGTGTATTAGTTACTATAAGGTGGTACATCAGATTACATAAGGATAAGTTCACCTTATTACAAAGCTTAAAGGATGTACTCAATTCACCCATTACCCCCTCTTCCCTTCCTTTATATGATACAATACATTATGTACATGTAGTTCATTAAACCCAATACATTATGTACATGCAGTTCATTGAACCCAATACATTATGTACATGTAGTTCATTGAACCCAATACATTATGTACATGCAGTTCATTAAACCCAATACATTATGTACATGTAGTTCATTAAACCCAATACATTATGTCAAGAGTGGATTATGTACATGTATCCATACCTGGTTGTTGGTGTTTTTATTAATGGTTGAATATAGTCCAGTAGCACCAGTAGACAGACCCTGTTGACCCTTATTCTATTAATGATACATTATATGATCCATTAAACAATCCTCAATAATCACTGACCTCTCCCTCTCTCTTCAATACAGAGTATTCCTGTACTCCCTCAGGATTATAGGCAGGAGGGACAGGAGGAGGAGTATCATTGTCTTGATTGAGTGCTGAATAAAGTGGACCAGCTCCTTGTTGTTGTTGTTGTTTATTCTTCTTCTATTATACATTATTCATATAAAGCATGTACTTAAGCACATTGCCTATCATGTCCTCTTGTCTATCATGTGCTAGTTCATTGTATCTTACAGTCAAACATATGATTACCCTGTGTAGGCTGTTGTCAGCTTATTGTGTGTTACATGTATACTCATATGGTTCATGTCATG